ACACACACATACACTAACACACACACACTAACACACACACACTAACACACACTAACACACACTAACACACACTAACACACACATACACTAACACACACACACTAACACACACACACTAACACACACACACTAACACACACACACATTTTTTTTTTCAAATTTAATCCCCCCAGCCTCATTACCTTTTGGAGTGCTGGGGGGATTCCCTGGGGTCCAGTGGTGGTGCTGCTGGGCTCCTGGGCTCTGGGCGGGCTGTCTGGGCGGCAGGCGCGCGAGGGAGCACTTTCCCCCATGTGCTCCCTCTTCAGCTCCCTCACGCGCCGCATAGGGATGCCGGTGCCGGAAGATGACGTCATCTTCAGGCTCCGGCATCAGTGCGGTGCGCAAGGGAGCTGAAGAGGAAGTACTGAGTGCTCCCTCGCGTGCGCGCCTGCCCGACCGGCCACCTGCCCGCTGGGGTCAGCAGGGCCAGCCTCGGGGGGGCCTGAGGTGGCCGCCTCCTGGGCCCCCCTGGGGAAGAGGCTGGCCCTGTGGCTACATACCGGGTCGCAGGGGCGGCCGGGCCCCCTGGTGGGCCGGGCCCGGTCGCAGCCGCGACCCCTGCGACCCTGGTATGTACGCCACTGGGTGTGGCTAGGGCTGCATAAACAGAAACAAAGTGATTTAACTCTTAAATGACAGTGAATTGAGCAGTGAAATTGCAGGGGAATGATCTATACACTAAAACGGCTTTATTTAGCTAAAGTAATTTCGGTGACTATAGTGTTCCTTTAAGAATAAAAATGAGTCAGATCAGAAAGGGAAAATGTAACAAATAAAGGAGAATAAACGTGCACGGGACATTATTTCAAGATACGCATTACATTTGAGACAATATTCTTGCACTTGTAAACCATTGTATGATGTCCATTTGTGTTCACACTGTACAGATTGTTCTGAACTTAAGGAATAAAGCCCATGTCCAGTAAATGTGTCATCTAATGTGTCAGTACTCTGTTATTTTCTTAGAAGGATTCTTTTTCTCACACCAGTAAGAATAGTGCTGTTTAGAACATGAAACGTTTTCTTCCTATTCATCGTTGTCTATGTTTGCTATTGTGAAGCAAAACTCGATTTTGGTAGAATTACAGTTTCCCAAAAGATTTGGCTTTAAACCTACAAAAAATATATAAGCGTGTAGTCATGATTTGGGACTGGTGTCTTGCAGATGCTGTCTGCAAGATATAGCTTCAGGTTACATATATAATAGTGCCATTTCTGACATTCATGTAAATGATATTGACATCACTTTTACCTGTGTTAACAAATGATTAAATACTTTTAGAAAAACTTTCTAAATGATTGATCTTCAAAAATCCTACAGACGTTAATAGTGACCTCTGTAGAAAAATCATTTGGAAGGTTTTCTAACATTACTGAATTATTTGGAAAGCTTATTAAATCAAGGTCTGTGGTACCATCCCAAAATAAGGAGTGGGAGTTTTGAGGTCAATACCATTGTCGTAGGTGGTTTTTGTGGAGGAGTATTAAATATGTGGCTTATTCTACTGGGATCTATGAATTAGTCTTTTGTTTCTCTGGGTAGATGCATAGTTTAAAGAGACACTACACTGCCCAAATACAAAAAAGTAAATTTAAAAAAGCAGATTTTATGTCTGCAGCCTTTGCAAGCCCTCCCCTTCAGTGGTTGTCCAATCACATAAATCCCAATGCACCTCAGTGAGAAGTCTTTGCAAAGCCGGTTCTCTGGGCAGTTTCAGTTAAGCTCCCGAAGTTTAATTTATAAATGTGCCTACTTCTATTTAAATCTGCACTTTTTGTAAAATGACAAATGAGGACACACTCTTGAAACATAAAGCTGATGTTCTCACGGAGTCTGCATTGTTCCTGTATAGTTCCTGGAAATCAGCATATCTTTCTATACTGAGGTCAAAAGAACGCCCAGAACATTGAGTGGATTAGAACACTATATTTATGCGTTTTGGGAAGTTAATTCACTTATAACATGCCCTGCCAGGTGAGCTTGAAAGAATTCCCTTTTCTCACATATATAAGTATGTTCAGGTACCAGGGTTAAAGAAACACTTCAGGCACATCTATATGTCTGGACATCCCTGGACATAACTAAAAACTAAATTTACTACCTGGTTAAATAATTATTAGAGTTATTATTGCCTTGCCTGCTAGGTTTAAAATTTTGTTTTGACACAAGATCTTTTCATGGTCACTAAAACACTGCTTACATTTTTGTTTTTTGGTTTTTTTTTTATTCTTTACCATTGACATTTCTTAGCAGACTTGGAGATGAATTTCATTATGAACGGCAATCATCTGAATTTGGGCCAATCGGGTGATTCAAATTCCCGATTTCTGAGCCGTCATAGACTAGTCACGAAACAAGTGACTCACGCAATGGACTTGAATGTTCTTTTGATTTGTGATTCAGAGTCTTGCCTATGGCACGAAAAAAGAGATGGTTGATGTCAAAAATGTGGACAGCCACAAAATGTTGATTTTCTTCACAGATTAAGCATGATTTTAGAAGAATAACTTTGAGACTGCGGAAGTCATTACAAGTTGCACTTTCAGTGGAATTTGGGGAAACCACTTAAAGCATTCATTGTGTCGAGCTATTTCAACTGCCTTTGTTTGAATTGTTTACTGCAAACAGCTGAAAGTCTTTACATTTTGACAATAAACCTGATTTTCGAATGGGGGGGGATGAATAATTTTGAATACAACTGTACCTGCACTCTTGACGCATCAGGTGAGATATTTCTGGGTAAGCTGCATCTGCAAGTCACTAGGCCCAAATCATGACTATCCTGGAGAAGAGTATTGGGAGATATGATTTGGAATTTTAATGAAATTAAATAAATTGTTGCATTTAACTACCCACCTTTGCTGAGGTGGTGATGTTGATATCTGCATGTGATTACTATTTAGCTCTTAAGTTTAAATAATAGCATAATATAAGTTACAATACTCCGGTATTAGCTCATATACCATTTTTCTGTTCAATGTATAATTATGTCTTCTAACGAGTCCCACACTCACAGTCAAATAGCGGTTCTGGGAAGAATCACATATCCTGTTTTGGTGGATAACAAGAAGACGTTTCCAGAATATTTTTCAAAGTAATAAGCCAAAAATATTTTATTCTAGCTGATGCTATCCAGACAGCAGATAAGCACTTAAAGGTTATAAAATTTTATTTTTCAACTCAAGGGAGACCATTATTGTAATATAATACTCTGGAAACAAGCAAGAGGAAATAAAGTACAGATGAAGGAAGAAATGCATTATGGGAGTAATTATCAACTGTTTAAGTACATTTAACGTAATCTTAAACTCCATGGTACAATCATAAAAAGGATAAACATTTTGCAAATGCGTTTCATTTAGTTTATGATTTTAATTTTACAAAAAAAAAAGATATTTGTTCTAGAGTATGTTTAGCAATCCTTAGCCTGAAAACTTTACCCTATTTGCTTGTTTCAAATGAGAAACTGTCACTTTCCATGAATTTTAATATTGTGGTAACATATCCCTACATGTAACATATAACTATAATAAAGATTCATGGAGTGTGAAAAATAAACTTTAAATATAGAAATCTATGCCTCTTTTCCTGCGGAAAAAGTGCCTCCATCTTGGCTGCAAATGAATCACTGTTATAATCTCCTGTCCTTTGCACCTGGCAGTCAGAACAGAGA